TGTGGCGTAAAGCGCCTCCCCCCACCCCCCCCCCCCCCAGTTCCTTTCTGCAGTGAGGGTGGGGTCTGCAGCGCGAGATTCGGAGGTAGTTAACCCATCCCCCGAAACTCTGTCCCCGCCCGCCTGAAAGGACCTTGAGAACTGGCTTAGGATCTGGGCCTGTGCTGGGCGGCCCTGCTGCCAGTGCTTTTTGGAACTCCTCGCTGGCTGGTGAATAAAGCCCTATCTATAGCCTCCAAAGTCTGGAAACATGCCTTCCCTTCGGCTGGCGCTAATCTGATACTCCCTGGGCCTCCTTTTGTAAATAGGGTTTTGTTAGGAGATGGGGTTGTGGGAAGGAAATGACTTTTTTCAGTTGTTTACTTTTTATTGAGTACCTAGAGGTTCAGAAAAAATTAGTGAAAGACTAAGCATTGCGACACTATGCACATTTTTCTTAACTTTTTTTCCTTCTTGGAGTGACTCGCCTCGATGGAGACAAACTGGTATAAAAGATTTGCCGCCCAGGAAGTAATCGCTAAGCTTCCCCATTAAACCTTACGTGAAGCATTTGGAAACCATTATTTCGTGCGCCTACCAGCTTATTTAATTTATTGGTAATTCCGCTTGCCATTTAAAGGCGGCACTATAGTTCCTCCGAAGCCTCCGTTGCTATGGCCTAATTTGCTTGAAGTGTACAAAAAAGCATTTTTGTGTGGACTAGTGGCGAAGTATTATGTATGCCACATGAAAATGACTTCGTATGTGTACTGTATCATTTTTTATTGAGGTGACAGTCTTCAAAAGGAGGTGTTCTGTTTGCTTCAAAAGTCATCTTTCTAAAGCTTGAAAATCAGTAATTCGATTAACCACCATAACTGAAATTCACATGATAAAACTCCTAGGTCCTGTCTTGTTTCCCTGGTTCCTTATTGCAATTCTCTGCTTAATTCTGAGTTGGACCCATGGCACCCTCAGTAGCTCTCCAGGGATCTTTGGGTTACAGGAATTTGACTGTGACCACTGTTGGAAGTTTGTATTGTCTCCTGGCCTGAGAGGTAGATTTGGTGCAGAGCCTTTAAAATAGAAAACCTAAGTGAAGTTTCTAGTTATTTATGTATTTTAAATTTTTGCCATAGGGAGCATGTGCTTGCTGGAGAAAGAGAGGGGGGAATGTGAGACATCATCCCCTAGGGTGAATGGCCTTGTCCTCAGTCCCTTCTGTGTTCTCCTCTCTGGATATTAGGCACACAAGCACACACACCCAGGATGATTTTCAAGCTGCCAGGTCTGGATTTCAAAGGACAGTTGGCCTTGTGGGAATCCAGCATCTTAACCCCCGTACCAGTTGCTGGCCCCTGGTTACTTTTTTTCTTTTTTTGGAGAGGTTTTTGCTATAGGGCATGTGCGCTCGCCAGACAGAGAGACAGAAAGCGAGAAATCACCCCCCAGGGGGGCTGGCCACGCCTCAATCCCTTCTCCATTCTCCTCTCAGGACACGAACCACGGTCAACTACATGGGAGTCCAGAGTCCAGCGACATAGCCATTACGCTAACTGCTAGTTCCAGGCCCTGGTTACTTTTAAAAGCTATTGCTGTCTGGGGACCAGCAGATGGCATGGTGGTTAAGGTGCTGGACACTCCCACATGGCCCAGAAGGATCAAGTCCCAGACCTAGCGGCTCCCCCCCCCCCCCCCTCCCTCGCTCTGTGTCTCTCACTCTCTCTGGTCAAATTAAAATAAATGAATAAATAAAATTAAATAAATAATTTTTTTAAAAGCTATTGTTGTCTGAAGCAAAGGAGAGTAAAGTAAGTAAATCTCCCTAAAAATAGTTCTCTAATGAAATTATTGATACATGTGTTTTTAATTATTTAGTGTATACCCTGAGGTTTGCCTTTTATTTATTTTTTTAGTCCATGTTGTATAAATTACCTGTGGTAAAGATTCCGTACAGTTTTTGCTTGTTTACAGCGGCAAGTCAATAGTTTGTAAAAATGTTTTTTGCTCTTGAGATTTTAAGCTTTTTTGACTCAAAAGAGAAGTCGGTGTACATCAGTTTTTGAAGAGAATATTTTAACCTTGAGTTAAAATATTTGAAGTGGGATGATTCCAAACCCTTTGGTCTTGTAGCTGATTTGGAAAGGTGTTTAATAATACATACCTGCTGAATACATGTGAGCCGTACAAGTCATTCCAGCTCAGCACATAGCAAGGACATGGGTTGGGTTTGTGTCTCAAAATAGTCGGTATAAAGTCATAGATGTTCTTTTGGCCTCCTTAGTGGCCTTCCTATTCAGTTTTTAAATTATCACTCTGGATTTCTAGATTGCAAGAGGACCCACCTGTGGGTGTCAGTGGTGCACCATCTGAAAATAACATCATGCAGTGGAATGCAGTTATATTTGGGTGAGTTGAAAGATTTAATAGGGGCTGGTAGATGGCGTGGTGAGTAAGGGTGCCGGACTCCCACATGGCCCAGCATGGTTCGGGCCCCGGACCTAGTGACTTGCTTTCTCACTTTCTTGCTCTTTGCTCTCACTTTCTCACTGTCTTTCTCTGGTCACATTTAAATGAATAAATAAAGCTAAGTAAAATAAAAAGAAAATAATCAACTTAAAAAGAAAGCTTTAATGAATAGGTGTGTGGTGATTTTTGAAGAAAAGTAAGTATGTGACAGCTTTCTCTAAGAAAAGAGACTGAGGTGGAATCAGGGATCTTAAGGACTGAAGCTGCAGAATAAATTAGAAAAATAATTATTTTAATAAGTATTTTGGCCCAGTTCCATAAAATTTGCTCTTTAATGTTATTACATTTATGATCAGTTACCTCGAGTTTTACTTAAATAAACTGTTCGAAACGAAACGTAATTGACTAGCAAAAGAGAAAGTGAATGATTTCATACAAAACATGCCATGCAAATGTTTATGCTGTCATTGCATTGCAGCTAGAAAAAAGCTTAGAATCAGAAATGTTGAGAACTGGAACCAGCAAATGGTCTAGTGGTTATGTTGCTGGACTCCCACATGGCTGACTGCAATTCAAGTCCCGGACCTGGTGCACATGCTGGGCGCGTGTGCATGCGTGCCAAGATCTCAGGAGGAGAAAGGATTGCAGAGTGGCTATCCCACGGGGTGGAGGGTGGGGGGTGTGATTTCTCACTTTCCCTCTCAGTGTCTCTGTCTGTCTCCTTCTCTGGCAAGCTCACTCTAAGGCAAAAACCTCTTAAAAAAATGAAGTTGAAAACTTCTACATTGGCATGAATTTAAATGAACTGTTTCATAGCCCAGTGTGAAATAACTGAATGGAGTCATTTGAGAAGCATTCCTACATTTCACATAATGTGTATTTTGCATGTCTCCCCTTATCTGTGGGGGCTATGTTTTAAGACACTCAATGGATGACTGAAACTGCAGGTAGTACTGACTCTTAAGTTTACAGTTTTTTCATATCCATCATCTGTGATAAAGTTTAATTTATAAATTAGACACAGTAAGAGATTAACAGCAATAATAGAAAATTTTCCATAATATACTATAATGAAAGTTATGTGAATGTGATCTTGGTCTCTCAGAATTTTTTTTTTTAAGAATTATTTTATTAATTGTCATTATTTTATTTTATTTTTTTGAACCTGACCAGAGAGAGAGAGAGGAGAGTAAGAAAGCAAACTGCCAGATCTGGGACTCAGACAGTGGTCAGCCATATGGGAGGCCAGCTGCCCTAACCACCATATCACCTGCCAGCCCTGGTCTCTTGGAATATTCTATTGTGTTGTACTCACCTGTTTTCAGACTGCCAAATTGGATAAGGGGATGCTACTGTGCACTTTAAATTTAAAATTTTTTAATAACTTTTCTTTGGTTTTCCTGGATTTGACTTATCTTTATTTCATTCTTGTTAACCTAGTTTTGCACTAAAATATAAAAGGAATATTTTCATAAACCAAATTCTGAGTTGCTACAGAATCAGTCTTTAAGAGTCTTCATTTAAAGACTAGTGGAAATGAATGAAGTTTGTTCTAGAGTAAAGTGACTCTCTTATAATCAGACTGTTACTATGTTTCTTTGACATCCAGAATGTACCTTGCAAGTAATAATTCACGTTAAAGTGATGGGACCACCAGTTGGCGTAATGCCTATGTCTCTGGACTCCTACGTAGTTGACCACGGTTCGAGTCCTGGATCTGGTGACTTAAACTCACACCGGGCACATGTGCGTGTGAGTCCAAGATCCCCAGAGGAGAATGGAAGAGGATTGTGACGTGACCATTGCACTGGGGGGTGATTTCTCACTTTCTGTCTCTGTCTTTCTGGCGAGCCCATGTGCCCTATGGCAAAAAAACCTCTCCCCAAAAAATAGAAGATGTAGGGAAGGTGAAATCGTGCTAGGGAGCCAAGGAAAATAAGCAAAGGTCCTGCTTTCTTGGTGACATCAGCTCTGCTTAGAGCTCTTGCTCTGCCGGAAAGTAAGGAGTGACATGGTGTCATTATCTTAAACTAACAGGTATCGATTTCCATTTTATTGCTGTAAAATGAGATGATGACTTTTTTTCTTAAGAATACACATATTTCCTAAATGACTGGTCAGTATTTATGAGCTGAATTCTTTCAGTGCTAAAATTTTGGACAATTTTGTTTTGTAAAACCATGCTAAAAAGAAATCTTAGACCCTGGAAATTTATTCTTTATGCCTTCATCTGAAAATCTGGGTCCAGGAGGGTATTAAATTACAGTACTTTTTTTTTTAAGAGTTTTTTTTTTTTTTTTTTTGCTTGTTATGTTTATTTTCCCCCTTAGGGCACATGTGCTTTGGGGGTGGGGGAAGGGAGAGACACAGTGAGAGGGAAAATGAGAAATCATCCCCCAAGGGGATGGCCAAGCGGCAACCCCTTGTCTTCCATTCTCTTCTCCAGATCTTGGGCATGCATGCACACACACCTTGGCTTGATTTTGAAGCCACTGGGTCCAGGACTTGAACCTCGGTTGGCCACGTGGGAATCCAGTGATGTAATTGCTATGCCATCTGCTGATTCCAAAACTATGGTATCTTAAAACTCCACAAATTGTCAGAATGAGCCCCTCTCTGTATTGGAGTTTATCCATTTTATTCTTGAAGATAAGGAAAAAGAATGAAGAACTTATTTTAATCAGGAAATCTTCTTGTTTTCAGACCAGAAGGGACACCCTTTGAAGATGGTAAGTCAGTCTTCCTATGTTTCCTTACTTAAGGTTTCTTAGCGTAATTTATTAATTCTTAATTATTGTTAAGAGGGTGCTTCTGCATAGAAAATAATAATACCAGTATACCTCCTTGAAGCTTTTTCTGTTGTTAATAGGCCAAGTTGAAACCAAATAAACTACTGAGAATTCATAGTTTACAAGGGACTTTCTTCCTTCAAACAGCTTGGTCAGCTCTGTTCCCAGCTCTCTCCATTACTTTAATATTTGCCTGTGAAACTGTAGCTTAGATAGCAGATAGTTTATATTTAGATGACTCTGTAGCACCATAAGGAAATTCCTGAGGCTAACTCCAGAGGGGTAATCTTGGATTTTTTGCTTTTTTATCTATATTATTAGGGTGTTGACCTGAAACTTTTGTTAAACATACATAACTGTCAGTAATTGCATGTACTGCTAGTATTTGGCACCCTTAAATAATCAGCATTCTGCATAATCTTTGCATCTCAAGTAGGATATTTTCACCAGGAGCCAGGAAGATGGGAAACTATTTCTAATAATATGTTTATAATTAAGTTTATCAAAATGATTTTAGCCCAATATTTAAATTTTCCCTACTTATAGCATGATGTTTAAAAAAAATTGTTAAACAGGGACCAGCAGATGATGTAATGGCTATGTTGCTGGACTCCCATGTAGTTGACCCCGTTTGAGTCCCAAACCCAGTGGCTTAAGCTCACACCGGGCACCTGTGTGTGTGTGTGCCCAAGATCCTGAGAGGAGAATGGAGGAGAAGGGATTGCGGCATGGCCATCACCCTGGGGGATAATGTCTCGCTTTCTGTCTCTCTCTCTCTGTCTGTCTCTTTCTGGCGAGCACATGTGCCCCATAGCAAAAACCTCTCCAAAAAAAAAAAAATTATTGAACAACTTTATAAAAGTAATCAAAGGGACTGAGGGGTAATTCCATCGAGGATATTTGTATAAGAATATTGCATAAAGCCCTGGATATTTGTAAAAGAATACTGCCTTCAGCATTGTTTCTAACCTGAATGCCTATAAGAGAAATGGTTAAGTAAATTGCAGTGTATCTGGGCTCTGAGATGTTATATACCTGTTAAAAAATAGAACAGATCTGGGGACCAGCACCCGGTGGCTTAAACTCATGCTGGGTGCATGTGCGTGTGTGCCCAAGATCTCGAGAGGTGAATGGAGGAGAAGGGATTACGGTGTGGCCATTCCCCCTGGCGGGGGAGGGGGGTGTGATGTCTCACTTTCTGTCTCTCTGTCTCTCTCTGTCTTTCTGGCGAGCACACGTGCCCTATAGCTAAACCCTCTTCAGAAGAAGAATAGAATAGATCTGGACATATGTCTGAATAGACAAAAAGTTGTAGAGTAACATGTTGTAGCATCGCATTTTTACTAAGGATGTGTGTGTGTGTTAAAAGGTTATCAGTGATTATCTCTAGGTAGGAGTAAGGAATTGAGGGGGTACTTAAGGACTTCAGCTTTTTCCTCTATCCTGGGGATTCTCAAGTATGTTCCATCAGCCCCTTGGATCTCTGAAACCCTTTAAGGGAATCCATGTGACTAAGACTATATTGATATTTGCATTGATGGTAGAAAAGTAATGGTGGCTAAAACTGCACCTAGGCAGTTTAGTGTCTTGGAACAAATCAAGACGGGGCACTGGTCATTGTATTCTTTGCATTTTAAGAAAAGCTAGTTTCAGGAGCCAGTAGGTAGCGTGGTGGTTAGGATGCTGGATTCTCACGTGATTGAGCATGGTTCAAGTGCTGGACCTGGCCACTTGGTTTTCTTGCTTTCTCTCTCTCATGTGCGCACATGCACATGCCCTGTAGGAAATTAAAAGTAGTAATAAATTTTAAAAATTAGTTAAGTCTTGAACAAAATAAAAGCTAGTTTGGGCCTAGCCTTGGTGGTACATGGGTTACTGCTGCTTGGTAGGCTTAGCCCACGTGGGAGGTCCAGGTTCAATGTTCAGTGGAATCCCAGCTACTCAGGAGGCTGAGGCGGAAGGATTGGAAGCCCACTGCCAGCGTGGGCTGTCTGTTTGAAAGCTGGACTTGGTGGTGTAAACCTTTGGCCTCAGCTACTCGGGAGGGTGAGGCAGGAGGATTGCCGTATAGCAAGGCCCTGCCTAAAACACACACACGTACCCCTCACAAAAAAGCCAATTTGACTTTAAACTTGATGAGACAGTAGAAATTATCAGTATTAAAATCTAACTTTTAAGCATACAGTAGACATACTGTTTATAGGTTTCTATATCCACGGATTTACCCAACCATGCACTGAAATTATTTGAAGGAAAAGATTGGTTGTATCTGTACTGAACATGTGCAGACCTTTTTGGGGGGGTCAGCATTACCTAAGCAATACAGTATAACAACTACTAGCTCATCTGAAAAGTCATGACATATTTTTTGGTGTTTTTCTATGCGAAAAATATGACATGACTTCCGACAACCCATACTTAAGTAGCATTTACATTGTATTAGGCATGATAGATGGCCCAGAGATGATTAAAAATCTGGGAGGATGTGTGTGGGTTATATATAGACACTGTGCCATTTTATATAAAGGACTTGTGCACCTGTGGGTTTTGGTATCCCTGCGGGTTCCTGGACCTACTCCTCTTTGGATATCAAAGGACTATTATATACATCTTTTTAGTATTCTGTGTGATAGATGGAAAGTAGGAATAAAGCCCTTTGCTGCATACTAAAGTAGTGGCTGTTTGATTTGAAACTTGAACTACTGATTTTTGCATAGAATGTTTTTACTTGAAAGACTGACTGAAAATTATGGTTATTCGGGTTTCATAATGTGGCAGACATATTCTCAGAAGTGACTTAAGTGGGCTGTTAGTTTAGGATTCTATTGCTGAGGACAAAATGACAACTTCTCAACACTTAGACACTTTTCCTTTGTGATTAGTAGGTGGTTTGACCTACTGTGGGGTTTTTGAGAGTATAAAATATGGAAGTCTGTATAATTCAACTGGAATGAGTTTTTTTTGTTTGTTTGTTTTGTTTTTTAAATTTTATAAATTTGACCAGAGGGAGACAGAGACACAGAGAGAGGGAAAGGGATAAAGCAAACCGTCAGGTCTAGGACTTGAATAGCCATGTGAGAATTCAACCCCTATAACCACCATGTCATCTACTGGCCCTGGAGTAATATTTTCTATTCTTTTTTTTTTTTGGAGAGGTTTTTGCTATAGGGTGCGTGCACTTGCCAGAGAGACAGAAAACGAGAAATCACCCTCCGGGGGGATGGCCATGCCACAATCTCTTCTTCACCATTCTCCTCTGGAGATCTTGGGCACGCATGCACAGGCGCCCAGCATGAGTTTAAGCCACCGGGTCCGGGACTCGAACCGCGGTCAGCTACATGGGAGTCCAGTGACATAGCCATTATGCTAACTGCTAGTCCCTGGAGTAATATTTTCTAAATGACCAATGCATAATTGCAAAGCATAACTGATTTTTAAAAATTTTAGAAAGAATTATTTAATTTTTATTATTTTTCAATGTGCTAAAAGGGCATATGCACTCACCAGAGAGAGACAGAGAGAGAGCAGGAAAACAAAAAGCCAGGTCTGAGACTCAAACCATGGTTGGCCATGGGGGAGTCCAGCCACCTGCTTGCTCCACTGTAACAGATTTTAATCTAACAGGAGTATAAAAAGTTTATTCATATGATTTCAGATTCTACATTACAACAAATCTTAAAAAGAAAAAGCCAAAAAACTCCCATTTCTTCTCTGATCTCCAAATATCAAAATAGATTTTTTTTATAGATACCTGAATAGGCTGTGAAAATACTGTTTTTCAATTACATGTTTGTGCAAAGTTGGAATTTCTTCATATACTTTAACCAAAACATACATTGGGACAGACAGTGCAGAAGTAGATAAAAGAGCCCAACTGTCTTCTGTTAAGCCAGTCATTTAAAAGAGTTGCAAAGGGGCTGACAGATGGCATGGTAGTTAAAGTGCTGGACTTCCACATGGCTAATCACAGTTTGACTTTCAGACATCTTAAAAGAAAAAAAAAAGAGAAAAAAAAAAGCGGTGGAAGTTATATACCAAATGCATGAGCATGTATAAAATAATTTTTCTAAATGTGAGCCTCTAATCTTGCTAGGCAAGAAAAGGTCGTTTTACAGAACCTTGCAGAGACATCAAGTTTTATTAATTTCATTAGGATTAAGTCTCAGCTTACTGACATCTGTCCAAAAGGTTGTAGTTCAAGAAACTATCCAACCTTCAGGTGAGTTTTCTCTAAATCAGACTTTCAATAATATAGTTAAATAACCACAAAAGAAGTCTACAAAGATAAACATGAAACTATTAGGTAACTATGCTTATTTCTTAGAAATGGAATCAGAATTATAGTTAAGAGTCTTTCAACTATTTGGTACACCGCAGACAGGTCAACTTGGTTATATATGCGTGATTTTTAAAAAAGCCTCTGTTGCCCATTAAATACTGATTTAGACTAACCAGAATATACCGTGTTGACCTATAATCAGCACTAGGCAGTTACACTAAAGTTTCACGATTCTTAGCATAGCCATATGAAGGGATTGGTGCAAGGACAGGACTGACCTGTCACGTTAGTGCCCCTGCCTCCAATTTTGTCAGGGTCTTTTACCGTCGTGGTAGTTAGCCCCCCCTTTCAAAATCCTTTGACATGCCCCTTCTTTTTTTTTTTTTTTTTTTTTTTTTTTGAGAGGTTTTCGCTATAGGGCGCATGTGCTCGCCAGACAGAGAGAGACATAGAGACAGAAAGCGAGAAATCAGCCCCCGGGGGGATGGTCACGCCACAATCCCTTCTCCTCTGTTTTCCTCTCGGGATCTTGGGCACGCACACACACGCGCCCGGCATGAGTTTTAAGCCACCGGGTCCAGGACACGAACTGTGGTCGACTACGTGGGAGTCCAGCGACATAGCCATTACACTAACTGCTGATTCCCTGACATGCACCTTCTAAGCTACAATAAATTACAGTTTGGGGCCAGCAGATGGCATAGTGGTTACGTCACTGGGCTCCCACTTAGTCTACCCTGTTTGAGTCCCAGACCGCGTGGCTTAAACCTTGAGCCAGGCATAATTGCATGCGTGCCCAAGATCCCGAGAGGAGCATGGAAGAGAAGGGATTGTGGCATGGCCATCCCCATTGGGAGGGGATTTCTGTCCCTCTCCAGGGAGCACATGTGCCCCATAGCAAAAAAAAAAAAAAAACTCTCAAAAATAAATTATAATTTGTAGTTCTTCAAATGTAGATTTTAAATCTTGATAGGGAGGGCCCAATTGCCTTCCAAATATTTGACAGTTCACACTCCCACCAATAGCATGTGAAAGTGCTTTGAGTTCAGCTTTATTAATTTATTTTAATTTGACCAGAGGTGTACAGAGAGAAAGTGAGAAAGCAAGCTGCCAGATCCAGGACTTGAACCATGGTCTGCAATGCAGAATCCAAAGCGCTTAACCACCATGCCACCTCGAAAGTGCTTTTTTCCCCAAGTGTTTGCCAGTGCTTCATGTTATCAGTCTAGAATAAATAGAAGCACAATTACTATGTTTTATATACTAAGGTTGACATACTAACTTTTGTTTGGTTGTGCAAAAACCAGTATGGGGTTGAGAATTAATTGATAAAGAGGTTGTAAAGTTGTACTTGTCTTTACTATAATTATTTTGGTTTGTTTTCTATCTAGGTACTTTTAAACTAGTAATAGAATTTTCTGAAGAATATCCAAATAAACCACCAACTGTTAGGTTTTTATCCAAAATGTTTCATCCAAATGGTAAGTAGCAATTTATTAGAATATGTGTCTTAATCCACTATTATGTTGCTAACAGAACTACCTGACACTGGGTGATTTATAAATAAAAAGAGGATTATTTGATTCATGATTCTGGTGACTGAAAAGTCCAAAGGTATGGATCTGGCATCAGGCTGGCCTACACCACAATATGGTTGACTAAGCAAAGAAGTTGGCAGTTATGTGCAGAAAAAGCAGCCATCTTCCTTTTGTAACAACTGGCTCTCAAGAGCTAGAACTCACCTGATCTCAAAAACATTGTTATCTATTTGAGAGCAATGCCTCTCTGATCTAATCACCACCTTATAGGCTCCACCTACCAGTACCATTACACTGGGGTCCAAATTCCAAAACGTGAACCTTTAGGGGACAGTGATATGTGCCCCATTGTGCTTTTCAACCAGAGTACTGGGACTCAAACTGCAGTTGGCCTTGTGGTATCCAGGCTTCCCTAACCACTTGTCTATGGGGCAAGCCTAGAATAAGTTTTCTGAAGTGTGATTACTGGCTCAAAAACGTACATGTTTATAATGCTTTAAGTATAGTTTTTCATTCTTTTCCTTTGATAGAATTGTTCTCATTTTTTACTTTGAGAAGTTTGTTAACTGTCTTCATTAAATGATTGCTTAGTAACTCTTTTGTAATTAAATTTGGTCTTGATTTTGTGCTGTTTACATGTTACATTTGTATTCTTGGATTATGAATTATAATGGAAAAGGCTTCAAAATCTTCAGGTTCCTATTCTTCTGTAACCTTTGTTTATTGATACGTGGTCTTACCCACAAGCTAACTTTCAGGAGAAACATTTTCAGAAGTCCTCTTGGTTGTGTCTCTTGGACAGTAACTACTTAATAGAGCTTCCTACCCAGAAAATTGTGTTTGTATGTGTCTGGAATCAAGGTAATTCTTCAATAAAAGACATAGCCTGTGGGGCTTCATTGCTATGAAGTTCCTTTTTCTTTTTTAGCTGCCCCCCCCCTTTTTTTTTAACTAACATAGGTTTATTTTTTTGTTTCTGTTTTAAAAGAAATTCCCAAATTAGTTGCTTTTTATTGCACGGTAGCTTTGTCTGGCTCAGACTTTGTACTGGATCAACCAGAACCAACTGTAGGGCCAGCCCTGTGATGCAGCAGTTAAGCACTGTGCAGGGAAAGTCAGGTCCCACATGGCTGTCCAGAGCTCTGGTTACGTAACCTGTAACCAGTTGCACATGCATGTGACATGATGGAGAATTGGAGGTAAAAGGATTGCAGTGTGACCACATCCCGTTGGGGGGTATCCTCTCTCTCCTCTCTTTCTCCTCATGCCCATGCCCTCTTGCATGATAAAGAATAAAAAAAGTAGAAAACATCCATTAGTATAAAGCAATGACAACAAATTACAGGAAGGGGCCTTTAAGGCAAGGCAGGAAAGACTTTAGAATGTATGGGAAGTAGTTATGTATAGGTGTAGGGGTATCAACCTAAGCAGATTTATAGGAAGTATATATTTTTCTTGTCCTTTTATATTTATAGCATGATTTCTCTTTTTTTCTTTAATTTTATGATTTAACTTTCTGGTTTACATTTTTTAAAGAATTACTTGTCTGGGGCCAGCAGGTTGGCGTGACGATTAAGGCACTGGACTCCCACATGGCCAACCCCAGTTCAAGGCTGGCGCCTGTACTTAATTTTAATGGTTTTACAGAGGTGCTGATTATTGCTTTGGGTGTGTGAAGTTTGATGTTCCTGTGGGATAGATAGTAAGCAGTTAACTGTGCTGCTCTGAAAATAGCAGAGCTCTGGACTAAGGTTAATAACGGGAAGTACTGAGCACATGGAGAGTAACTGAGGCTTGCAGGTGTAAGATTGCCCAGAGGAATACAAAGGGTAACTAGGAAAAGGGCGTAGGACAGAGCCCTGAGGAGTGACGGTGTGTCAGTGTGGTTTTCTGTTCTCACCGTCAGAAAGTCTCACTTGTGTTTTTGGTAAGGTATTCTAGCTTGCTCCGTGAAATGTTCCACGGTTCAACATATCGACAACACTTAAGTACATTTCCTCTTTGTCTACATAGACGTTCTACCTCTAGAAATTTATCTTACAGCTTGGCTTACAAGTGGGTAAAAATTTATATTCATTGCTTATATTTTCATATAATCAGTCTGGCAGGGGGTGGGGGAAGTTTCCCAATATTTCAGACTTTAAATACATGTTATCACTTGAACTTTTATTTATTTTTTTTAATTAGGAAAGGAATGTATCCTCATTGTAAAAATGGATCATAAAGTATCAGGAAAGTTAAAATAAAATCAAGGCCAGTGGGTGGCATAGGGTTAAGGCAGCTGGATCTCACATGACCAGCTATGCAATTTGAGTTCCAGAGGGGAACAGAGGAGAAGGGGTTGTGGGGACCACCCTCCTGTGGGGTGATTCCTCACGTTCTCACTCTCCCGTCTGTCTCTCTCCAGTGAGTACACATGTCCTATAGCAACTTCTTTTTTTAAAGATCATTTATATTCCTACTAGCTTAAAATAACTGCTACTACTTACATTTTGGCATACAAATGACTGTATATTTTTCTTATCAAAATATGGAATTATCCAATGTAAATAATTTTTTTGAAAGCTTAAGGTAATGTGAATGTCTTGCACTATAGAGTAAATGTATGTCATTTCTGGTAACCGTGTCGTACTGGTTATGGGAGAGTCCCATTATTCGTTTACCCAGTCCCCCTTTATGGACCACAAGATAGTTTCCAGTTCTCAGTGTTAGAACAAATATGACAGTGAACATCCTGCACCTAAATCTTTGTGTGTGGCCATGCTTATTTCTCTGGACTAATTTCTAGGAGCAGAACAACTGTGTTAGTAAATAAACACTTTTTCAAGAGCTTGCTTTATTTATTTAAAAGGCTTTCTTCCACAAGCTGGAGACAAGGATTAGAAAGCTTTCTTCCATGAGCTGGAGACAGGAAGGTACCCCCAGCAGGGTTTTCACACTGCAGCCCACCCCCAGTGTCAGCCAGCTCTGATCAGGACTGTGTGCCCCCACCTCCCACTCCCCGCCCCCAGCATATTCAGGGAAGTCTCCAGATGTGAACCCAGAACCCCCCTTGCAAGTCAGCTTCACAGAGCATGCTGTTGCCTCTGCATGCATTACTGCCTCCTGGCCCCAAGGAGCTTTAGAAATTGGCCAGCGGGTGGCACTGGGCACCACCTGGCTTACTCTGAGGTTTGAGTGCCCTACCTGGAAGCTTGAAAAACATACCTCCAAAATCCCAAGAAAGATGGAGAAGGAATTGTACCGTGGCTATCTTCCTTGAGGGTGATTCCTCACTTTCCCTCTCTTATCTGTCTGTCTCCAGCAAAATGCATGTGCCTATGGCAAAAATCTTTAAGAGAAAAAAAAAAGTATATGTATGTACTGAGTATGTGTATATGTATGTACTGAGTATGTGTATATGTATGTACTGAGTGTGTGTATGTGAATATTTTGTGTTAGGAAGAATTCTCAGCCTTCTGACAATATGCAAAATAAGAGACTCCCGTTATCTGTTTGGCTTTTGAGTTTTATCTATTTTGTGAGAGAGAGAGAAACAGGGTCCTCAGGGTCTCATTTCTTGCCTCTTCCATGATCCCAGGTGCATGCCTAGAATGTTTCAGATTGATCTGAGATCCAAACCACAGATACCTTAGAGCTTTTGTTGCTTGTTTTTTAAGAGAGATTTTTGCTGTAGGGCACATGTGCTTAGTAGGAAGACAGAGAGACAGAAAGTGAGAAATCATCCCCCAGGGGTGATGGCTTCACCACAATCCCTCCTCCTCCATTCTCCTCTTGGGATCTTGGGCACGCACACACACACATACACACCTGGCTTGAGTTTAAGCCACCCAGTCTGGGACTTGAATGGCAGTCAACTACGTGGGAGTCCAGTAGCGTGACCATTATGCTATCCGCTGGTCCCAACACCTTAGTCTTAAGACACATTTTTCAATGAGAAAGGAAAGTTTATAGTTCCTAGTTAGCCTAATGATCAAAACATGACTGGGCCAAGCATTCTCTTTGTGGTGAAGATTTCTCTTACCTGTGAAATATGACAAAGTTAATATATAACCAATATTAGTGTTGTCTTTGCAGTGTATGCTGATGGTAGCATATGTTTAGATATCCTTCAGAATCGATGGAGTCCAACATATGATGTATCTTCTATCTTAACATCCATTCAAGTAAGTGTGTGTTCAGATGTGCAGTCATTTACCAGTATTATGTGGGGTGTAGTTAGCTCCTTTAGGAGCTGAGCAAATTGACCTTCCCAGCCTTGTAACCTGTGGCAGATCTTGGACAAGAACCCATAATTTTCAGCTAACTGGTTTATTCTTTCATTAGTGACTACATGGGATCCAGTCACAGTCCCTGTCCTGGTGATGTGGGACATGTCCTCACAGGACACACTTAATGTGCCCAGGAAGCATAGCAAGTGGTTGTAAAGAAAATATTTTGGGGGAGAAGCAAAGATGATTGCTTGAAAATAAACTCTAGGGACCCCAAGAAACTGAGCATGGAGGATGTTGCTCCATCTAAGAACTTCCATTTTAAAGAAAGAGAGAGAAAGGAAAAGTGTAGTATCACTATGACAGAAAAATCTGGCAGTGTATTTCAGAGTTGGGCTTGAGTGACAGTTTTGGAGGCGTGGAGTGAGGGATGTTTTAGTTACATGGATTTCAGAGGCTCACAAATAACATTCTAGTTTGTGAAATCTGTCATTGTTTTCCTGCCACATTTCTTTCATTCCAATCACTTTAAAAGCCTTGTTGTTAACCTATTTTACTCTCTTACTGCTAAAGGTATGTGTTCTGTTGGTTAAAGGAACTGCAGTTAATCCCCACCCTCACCTTTACTCTCATGTATTTGCAAAGTAACCTCAATAATGGAGTCTAACCTTGGAAAATGTGTTTATAAGTATTTGATCTTAGCTAGTCCTGATGTTCATGAGAAAGTCTCAGTATGCTGCGGTATATTGTTCTTTTCTGAGTTCTTAGAAATTAGAGGTCTTAAGGCAATTAAGAACTAGTTATTTTGGAAGCATAAGTCCTCCTTAGCAGCAGGACACCTGTCATTGTAGTATTTATCATGCCATTTCTGAACGTATTAAGATGTGAAGATACATGACATGCTTACTAATTGCTGAAATTATTTCTGTGGTTTTATGTAACTTCTCTGTACTCTATGTCTAACCTCCGTTGGTATAAAGAATACCCCCGTAAATGGATATTTTTTTTTCTCTCTCTCAGTCTCTGCTGGATGAACCAAATCCAAACAGTCCAGCCAATAGCCAGGCAGCACAGCTTTATCAGGAAAACAAACGGGAATACGAGAAGAGAGTTTCTGCCATTGTTGAACAAAGCTGGAATGATTCATAATAGACAACCGGTCTGTTAACGTTTTTCATCATCATTGTGTATAATTTACCTCTCAGTAGAAAGGCTAACAAATTTTAAGTGCCACAGGTTTTAAGGATTCTGCAGAAAAAAGAAAAAAAGTCCTTGAGTTTAGAACCTACAAAAGCTTGTGTATCTTGATTAATGTACTTTTTATTGCATGGTGTGAACTAAGTTATTGCTGCATAAATTTGTAATATATCCTGTTTGTATTTTTTTCCAAGTGTATAATGTTGGTGTGGAGTTTTCATGACAGAATATACACATTTTGTAAATCTGTACTTTTTTCAAATATTGAATGCCTTATTTTTGAATTCTTTAGATTTTTAAATTGGAGAAAAGCACTTAAAGTTTTTTATATATGAATATTACATGTAAAGCTGTTAAAATACATAACTTCAGTGCAAGAGACTTTGTCACTTATTTCCTTATCCGTGTAGAAGGGGTTAATAAGTCTCTAGCTCTCCATCAATTGATAGTTTCATTTCCAATTTCAAAAGAACATATTTATATTTTATCAAAAAAGCTTCAAATTTGATTCTAAATACCAATTATAATCTCCAATTTTATTTTAAATGTACCTATATTAGTTTCAGTTGAGTAATTACAGACATAACTGGTTTAATTCTGTCCAACTCTGTCTTTAGGCCACTTGTGCAATTTCTTCATGCATTACTTGCTGTTAAATCGTACCTTTTACGATTTTGCAATTGGCACTTCTACCTTGAGCAGAAAACTGATGGCAATGAATTTTGCTACTTGGTAGTACTTCAAGAGGTTTTTGATTGATAAAGAAAGTAAAACTATAAAGATTTGCCAAAAATCCGTGCCCCCAGTATTAGCAATGAATTGGTTGCATTGATTTGAGCAAGCCCAATGTTTGAAAGAAATGTTAGTGTAACTTAAATATTTGCAAACTTCCTCTTAATGCAATTATCTGTTTATTCTGGGAAAATGTTTTAACACCAGGGCCTGCTGAGTTGCTTTCTCTTGTGGAGATTTTTTTTTTAATCTCCTAAGTTGTATAAAAGTTGTACTGCATCTTAGTTTACTGGATAAATTTAAAACACAGTATTGTAGAAAGCTAACACAAAGCTATCCTTTGCCTTCAAATAGTATAGAAAATGGAAAATATACAAGTAAATTCTGTTGAACCACCTGTGTAGTCTCTCTAATAGTTAAAACAACTATTTCAGTAACTCCCAAGAGTTTCTGTCATGTCCATACTACCTCTTAGGGCTAAACTAACAGCTGCTTCTCTGTTGGAAGGCTGGGCTGCAGGACGACAGTACCTGCATCTTCTGTTCAGGAGCAGTTTAACTCTGGAATGGACGAGCGCTGGTACCTCCTTTTAAAAGGTTTTTGCTTGGCAAATTTTGGATGAGTGTATGATCTTAGGGAACTATGAGACAAATGGGAGTTTACTCACTGGAATCACGACCCAGGAGAAAATGGCTTTATTTAATGGTACTTCGTGATCATATTAACAGTATGATGCTGTTCAGCTCTAAAACAAAGACTAGGTAGACATTTGCTGCAGTGACTATGCAGTAACTGTGAGGGACTCCCCTTGTTTTCATTAAATAACATGTGAACACTGCTTCAACATCCATTTTTATCTTTAACTTTTTTATTACTTTTCCAATTAAAACTGGAACCTTTCAGGTATTGATGGGTAATTATAAGGCAGGTATAGCTTACTTTGCAGGATGTTACCACTCAGTAACTCCTTGCTGTTTTTTTTTTCCCCCCCTTCATCTTTAAAACAAGATTTCTGTTTAGTTGAGTATGAGATGTAAATCTTCAGCTTATAAGACTATGCCATACAAAATATATATATATATATTGGGGCTAGCAGGTAGCGTGGTGGTTAAGGGCACTGATCTCCACATGGCTGACCACAGTTCGATTCCTGTGTTAGTTAAAACAGCTATTTCAGTAACTCCCAAGAGTTTCTGTCATGTCCGTACTACCTCTTAGGGCTAAACTAACAGCTGCTTCTCTGTTGGAAGACTGGGCTGCAGTCCAGGTCCAGATTCCTGGACCTGGCAGCTTGCTTTCTTACTTCCCTCCCCCACTCTGTCCCTCTCTGGTCAAATTAAAATAAACATGTAAGTAAAGTTAAATCATTATTTTAAAAAATGTTCACTATTAAACTCTAGGTTAGTTTTTTTTTTTTAAGAATTATTTAACTTTATTTTATTTTCATTTGATGGGGTGGGAGAGGGAGGGAAAGTGAGAAAGCAAGCTGCTAGGTCTGGGACTCAAACTGTGGTCAGCCATGTGGGAGTCCAGTGTGCTTAACCACCACACCATCTGCTGGCCCCAACTCTCAGTAAATTTTATAGGTGTATGGTGTGGCAAGAAGCTAGAATTAAGATATTTAATTAGTAGTTATAAGATTATATTGTTGGATTCATGTTAAAATTCAAATTTTAAGGCAATCTGTGCCCAAGCACCGTAATATAATTTCATTTCACACTCCCAGTGTCTTATTATAGATGAGAAAACTATGTACAGAGATGATAGAGCTAGGATTTGAACCCATACATTCTGATTTTTTAAAAATCTTTATTTATAGGACCAGCATGTCGCATGGTGGTTAAGGTGCTGGACACTCATGGCTGACCACAGTTCGAGTCCCGGACCTGGTGGCTTGCTTTCTCACTTTCCTTCTCTGTGTGTGTGTGTCTCTCTCTCTGGTCGAATTAAAATAAATAAATGAATGAATGAATAAATAAATAAAACAAACCTTTATTTATTTATTTTATTTTTATTTGACCAGAGAGGGAGGGGGAAAGAGAGAGAAAAAGAAAACGAGAAATCAAGCCACCAGGTCTGGGACTCGAACTGTGGTTGGCCATGTGGGAGTCCAGCATCCTTAACCATCATGCCACTTGCCAGTCCCAATTCTGATGATTTAAGTAATAACTGTGTGATGGTCCTTAAAAGAGGTATTAAGGGATCGAGTTTACTTTGAAATCTGCTCAATGTAAATATTCATCCCAATTTGTGGAGAGACTTTCAGTAGATTTAGAGTTATATACAGACTTGTATCTATCTAATGAAAAGGTTTTTCTTTTTCTGTTTTTTTTTTTTTTTTTCCTTTTTTGGAGAGGTTTTTGCTATAGGGTGCATGCACTTGCCAGAGAGACAGAAAGCGAGAAATCACCCCCCAGGGGGAATGGCCATGCCGCAATCCCTTCTCCTTCATTCTCCTCTCAGGATCTTGGGCATGCACGCACACATGCCTGGCCTGAGTTTAAGCCACTGGGTCCGGGACTTGAAACGTCGTTGACTACATGGGAGTCCAGTCATATAGCCATTATAGCAACTGCTGTTCCTGTGAAAAGGTTTTCTTGACCACCATGTTTTAGCTCTCTTTTTCAAGAGGTAAACACAGTCTGGACATAGGGACACTTTCTAATTTATCATATAGAGGACTGTGACTAATCAGTCAACCACATTTCCTACTCCCTTCCTGGAAGTACTTGAGTCTGTAGGACAACTCCCCGCCTAAAAAAAAAAGGCTCCATTATTAATATAAATAACTTCCAGAACTGACCTAAATTTATATACATGTAGGTGGAAGGCAGTGGCGAAGGAAGCTCTTAAGAGTTTCTGTATTTACTAATAGTCTCTTTTACTCTGAGTAAATAGTACTTAACCTACTTAGTTTATTTATTTAGTACTCTTTAAGAGAGAACTTACAGCACAGAGTTATGTCTAATGTGTGGTTTTTATTTTTTGTTTTGTTTTTGCTGTAGGGCACATGCACTCATCAGAGAAAGACACAATCCTGTCTCCTCCATTCTCCTCCTGGGATGCATCCTCAAGCAAATTTTAAAAATTCCTTTCTGGAACCAGCAGGATGCAATGGTTATGTCGCTAGGCTGTGAAAGTTCGAGTCCTGAACCTGGTGACTCAAAGCTCACATTGGGTATGTGTGCATGGGTGCCCAAAATCCCAAGTGGGGAATGGAGGAGATGGGATTGCAGCGTGGCCATCCTCCCTGGGCGTGATTTCTCACTTTCTGTGTCTGTCCCTTTCTGTCTCTCTGTCTCTTCTGCAAGCACACATGCTTTATTGCAAAAATCTCTCAAAAAAAAATCCTTTCTGTTGCTTTCAGCAGTGCAAAGGAATCTCACTTATATGAGGATTGTATATGTAAATAGAAAAGTCAGTAATTGGAAAATTATTAAAGGGAAGTTTAGTTGTCTGTAGGAAAGGGACCTTGTTCCAAGATAGTAGCATTAAGTTAGGGGAGAACTGAGCAGTTATCAGATAGGATGAAAGAAAGCTATCTTTAGTTATTCTGATATAGGACTTTAGAGCAAAGATATTATAAACAATTTTGTTTAACAAACTTTTTTTTTCTTTTGATCAAAGAAGAGATAAATGTGCCAATCTTCCTTCAGTAAGTTCTCCCATCACTACAGCTTACTTTTTAAAAGAATTATTTATTTTTATTATTATTTTGCCTTAGGGCATGTGTGCTCAACTAGAAGGGGGTGGGGAGGGAAAAAGTAAGCCACCAGGTTTGGGACTTGAACCACAGTTAGCCACGTGGGAGTCCAGCGCCTTCACCACCATGGCACCTGTTGGCTCTACCCAACAACTTCTAAAAAAAATTTTATCAAGCATGTCTTGAGGTTGTAATATTTTCTCTATTCATAGTATGGGCTAGGAATTTTTTTAGTTGGACCAAAAACAATGCATGAGCTGTGCTCTTTACAAACCTTATTGGATATGTGACTGTCCCACACCTCAGCACTAGCTCTTTGAGGGTTGAAATCAAGAACTCTGGAAGGACTTGGGCTCTAGGCTTCCTCTGGCATATGGAAGATTTAAAGCTGGGTGGGAAACTTACATGGAATGACTTTCGGGAACTCTTACCATTTACTGAGTGCTTAAGTTTGGCCATATGACACTTTGGTTTATCAGTGACATGGATTAGTACGTCTGGGAAGACCTTAATTCTATTGGGAAAAGCAAGTATCGTTTCAGCTGAAAGTCTACATGGTGATGGTCCTGATTACAAGTGTGATATTCTGTAATCTTTTGGGGAGGTTGACTGATCAGAAGAGATCTGTAATGAACCAGTAGGTTGGTCACTTGTCTGAAGGGGATAATATCCTGTCTCCAAAAAGAAACCCCCCCTCAAGCTCTCCATCAACCTGAAACATTAACTTGTCAGTCTTCTGGAATTCAGGGATTGAAAGCTGCCAAAATACAAACATAAGGGCACTTAAGGCAGACCTCATAAGAGCAAAGGGTTGGTTATGCTCCTTCCTGTCTAAAGCCCAAAGGATACAAGTGACCCTCTTCCCTTCCCCCTTTACAAACAAGATCTTTGCCCAGAACACCACAGCCCACCAGCTGAATTGGACTAGCAGCATTCCTGGGCAAGAGAATGTCAAGTGTAGAGAGGGTCGCAGCTCATCAGCTAGCCACTGTATAAGGTCATTTTACAAAACTGGGTTGGAAATTTTGTTTTTGTATTGGTCCTAGTGCAAAGAAAACAAGGAACAGGAAGCTTCTTATGTATTCATTTCAAGTCTGAGAGACACTTCCTCCTTCCAGTAGAAAAAAAAGGCTTTTGCTAGGCCCGGTAACCATTCTGGGCAGAGAATAGGGAGCAGTGCAGACACTCCAGCCCATGTCCTCATCTTTAGCTGCAGGCTTGAAATATCAGTTCAAAGAAAAGCTGAACCAGTAATTCTGTCGTCACAGTGGGCTTTGGCTGTGGAACTGTCCCGTGTGGGCAACATGGGCATGGAAGGCTGTGGCTTTGGATGCACCTCGCTGAAACGCTGCCTGTAGAGCACAGGGTGGGTACAGGGATCTGCAAGCAGCACGATCAAGCAGTCCAGTGCTGACGGTGGGTGGCAAGTGTGGTGAACTCATCTGAGGGAGAGAGTTCCCCTCTGGCTTTTGTTAGTGCTCACACATTGGTTCTTTGGTGGGCTGGGTCCTCTTTTGCACAGAGCAACTTAAGAACAGGCCACCATCACTGTGGCTCCCTCTCAAGACCAAGTCAGGGATCAGGCTGTAAGACCAAAGATTGGAAGTTTCAGCCAAGGACTGGGATCTGCTTTCCAGGCAGCCTGTGGGAGTGCATGCACAGACCTAAGCAGGAGGCCTGCAGGACAGCAGGGGTCTTCTGGGACCAAAGCTTTGCACTTTTAGGGGACACTCTTCGTTTTTTTATTTTGTTATTTTAAAATTTGCTGTAGGGCATGTGCACTCATGGAGAGGTGGAGATGGAGGAAGTGAGAAGGTGTGCTGCCAGGTCTGGGAGTCCAGCACCGCAACCACCAAACCGCCTGCTGGCCCAGAGGACACTTTTTAAATAGTTCTGCTTTCTGTTACAAAAGTAGAAAATAGCCATAAAGGATAATTTGGTAAACTTGAAGAGGAAGAAGGAAACATGAGTCATGATCTCACCATCTGAGGTACTGAGAACAGCCAGTTA